GCGACGAACCGGTGCTTACTTGAACCCCTTGCATTGATAAATATCAGAAGAAAAACAAATTCATCGAGTGAGGAATAATATGCAACGGGCACGATAAGAGGACCAATCATGAGAACGAAATTATAAACAGCTTTGAAGGTAGGCAAAGAGTTCAAATGCTACACCGGGGAGGGCTGTGAAAATCAAGATCAATATTAAGGCCACTGCGCTGGTTCTGATGACAACATCCGCTGGGATGATGACACGGGTGAGACAGGCCGCTTCTCCGACTTTGATCAGACCGGCCGCTTCACCGGCGATGGCGGGGTCGGCCGCTGCGCTGTAGCTGACTGTCAGCAGCGTCAGCTCTAATGACGCGTTGCTTAGGGTATGATGCAAGTCGCGAAGTGCCTGCTTAATGCGTGTGCCTAAGTCGCGTGGCGGTGGGCTGGCCCGCTCGGGATGCCCGCCGCCGCGGGGACGTGCCGCCGCGCCGCGGCGACCGCGCCTCTGGCCAGGCCGGGCTCGTATGGCCGCCGGGTGCCGGTTGTCCGGCGCCAGCCGCGGGCGCCGGCGGGCAGGGCAAATGGCTGTAGTTGAGATTAGCGTGAGATAATACAGACGTGGACGTGGCTAGAGTTGAACCGTCTCCCATATAAGACCTGACGCTGTGCTGGCTCTGGTGAGGCCGGACGCTATGGTGGCTCTGGTGGGGCCGGACGCTGTGCTGGCCCCGGTGAGGCCGGACGCTGTGCTGGCTCCGGTGAGGCCGGACGCTGTGCTGGCTCCGGTGAGGCCGGACGCTATGCTGGCTGTGGTGAGACCAGACGCTGTGCTGACTATGGTGAGGCCGGACGCTGTGCTGGCTGTGGTGAGACCAGACGCTGTGCTGGGTCTGGTGAGGCCGGACGCTGTGCTGGCTGTGGTGAGACCAGACGCTGTGCTGGCTTCGGTGAGGCTGGACGCTGTGTTGGCTGTGGTGAGGCCGGGCGCAATGATGGCTCCACCGGGGTCGGCTGCCGCTTGGTCTGTTCTGTATTTTCCTTGGGCTGGCCCTGATCTGATGGCGCGACATCTGCAGACCTAAACTGGATGCAGGTCTTGAGATGCGACGCCGCAGCATACTAACGTGCTACCGCTGGCCGTGCACATTGCAGAAGGCTAGAGTCCTAAGCAGAGGTACACATAGAGCAGATGTCAGCTAAACCTTACGGCGTCAGTGAGCCTACGTGTCCGCGGCAATGCTCACATCACGTCCGGTCTGTAATATTACAGAAGATCACGAATGACATCGCGTCATCCAAGCTGTCAACCTCAGCAGCAGTTATCCGAATTATACCTTCCCGAAAAACAGCGGGACCATGGGGTGGTCCCTCGCCTGCCAAGCTAGCGCTGAAGAGCTTTGCAAGCGCCGGGGTCAGGCGATCAGCGAGCGTCCCTTGACCCGGCGACCCGACGACCGGGAGGGGCCCGGGCACAGCCTCACAGGACCGGCGGGCCCTCGGATCGGACCGGCTTTGACGCCGACAGTCGCGTCTCCGACAGTCGCGTCTCCGACAGTCGCCGACAGTCGCGAGTGCTGTCGTGGTGCTCCAAGTGGAGCGAAGCAGTTTGGCGCGGTAGGTGTTATTGGCCGCGTTTTGTCTGGCTAGCGACCGACATGGCAGTGATGAGGAATCGTCAGATGTCGCGCGCCCGACACAGCTGCTGGCACAACAGCTGGTGCTGGCGGAAGAGACGCAGTACCAGGGGCAGTCGTGGGGACGGGGGGGGGGGGGGGGGGGCAGGCGGCCATGGTGGAGTCGAAGGGGGCCTGGCCGCCCGCCGCGAGCACCAGCGCCGTCAGCAGCTCACACCCCGTCCCAGGGGCGCCCACCAGGCGGCGAGACTGCCGATCTCGGTCTCGTCGGCGCCCCAGCTGACGTCATCCGCCCTACTCAGCAGTCCTGAACCGCGACGCCAGGCGTTCGCCGGCTCTAGGGAGCGTTATCGTCAGCCGCCGGCGTCGCTAGCGAGCTGCCGACCGAGGAAGACCAGGGAAGAGGCGCTGGCTTGCGGTGGGGAACGAGCCGGACCTCCCGTAGGTATGCAGAGGCTGCGATATGCGGTCGAGGGGCTCGTGATCAAGGTAGCCACCAGAGGAGACCTTGGCACGGACGAGATTCGGGCGCGCGCTACCGGAGCTTCGCGACACCCCACGAGCAGATGGCCACTCGCTTGTCCAGGCGCTGTGTGACTGCCCACTGCGCTCGGTCGTGCTCTTGGGGCAAACACGCTCTACCCTCCGCGCACGCTGGCTGACCGCGGCCAGCGTTTGAACTGGGATTGTGCTGCAATGCAAGACTGCTGTGAGAAACAAGCGCGCTACGGTGCTTGACAGATCACTGGGCTTGGGTGACTGACGGCTGACCTAAGCGCCCGGCGCCTTCAGCTACCGGTGGGGGGTTTCACAAACACGAAACACGACTTAAATCTTTAGTCTATAAAACGGTTATTCGAACAGAATAGGTAAAACTGACCAATCTGACGCCGCCTGCCACGGTTCTGGACTTTATCCGTCATTATGCTAAGGCGATGCCTCGGATGAATAAATTTATAGCAGGAGTATGTTATGATGCATGTGTTTATAGTACATAAGTAAAAAATGCGTTGACTCGCCGCATAAACTGGCCAATACGGCCAGGCTGCTGTCGATGTGATGTTACAGAGATGCCCAACAGTTGAGCAGGAACGAGCCTACGGTGCTTGATAAGGTAAGAGTTGGATGCAATTTTCGCCGGCCGTCAGCAGCGGCATAAATCCCTAAGGTCTGACAGACAATGATAAATTTATTTTCAAACACCGGAAATGCTGGAACAGTGACCATTGAAAATAGTAACAGCGATGAATTCACCCTTAAATGAACAATCAGCTGCTTCATTCGTGTTTCGCTTCCCTCCTGTTTGTTTTTTTAACTAATCTACAGGCTTTTCCCCGTCGCATCCAGCGACTTTTCGATAGGATTTAAGTCGACGAGCACACGTGCCAGTGCGATAGCAAACTAAATACATATAATCAATTCAACACCTGGAGGGATCTGCAATCGTGGTGAAATGGTTACCGGAGTGGATTTATGCACCACAAATGCCCGCCTCAAATCCGGGCGCATGCATTTCTCAACAGCTCCTCAGCCTCCCCACACGGTCCGTTAAGCGGCTCCTGCACCCAGCCGCCTGACCGGCTAGCCGGAATCCAACCTTGAAGGCAATGCTTCACGGTTGAAGATGTTAAAGCAAGCGCCAGGTATCATGAAACAAGCTCACTTACAGCCATTGTTATGCTTTTAAATAGAAAAGACTGCTCTAGGTGGCACAATGCCTTTGTTTCATAATGACAGTCAATTGACGGCCGCTATATCTGGAAATCGTACTCACGAACGCCAGATATAAACGACTCGACGACTAAACTCTTTTTTACCGTGATCGCTGCATGGCTCATGGAATGACAGGATTCTAATAACGTTATTATTACGTCATGTATGCCAAAGTGATCTTCAAATAATCTCCCCGAAATATTCCCCCCCCCCCTTCGCGCTCGTGCAGCTCAGAAACTAGAGGGGCTTGGGTCTCACGAAGGGCAGGGCTGTGAAATACACCAAAAGGTCTTCAAGATGGCTGGTTCAGATCAAAACCCCACACAAATGTGGAACACTCCCGTTATGTCATGGCATATCGGGTTAGAATGTGGCAACATATCACCAATGCGCCTAAGAGATGTCCACTTGCGGCTTTTGGGGTGTTAATTGTGATGATAGAATTAGTCCTTGCGCATATCCTAAGCTTAGACGTCTAGCAATCATACCACACTGGCATCTAATAAAAAGAATCCCACGATTTTACTGTGCATGCACAAAAACGATTTTATTGTGCGTAGTTGTCCAGCCCTTTGGATGCTGATCCATTGGGAGCAGTAGTTCTCTTTTACATTTGTAGCCTTGAATTCCGCAGATCACACAAAGCTGGAGTTAAGCATAGCAGCCTAGCGTGACTCCGCTGAAACCGAGCTCATTGATCATTCCTGGGACGTCAAGATCGATAACGGTATGCGCGCTTACAGATTTACGGAAAGATTGAGACGAGGTATTAGTGTTACGGATGGAATAATTGTTTCGACTCTCGCTCTCGTCTGTGTCAACATCTACACAACGCTTCGACTAGTTAACACCTTCCGCTGTGGTCAGGTGTTGTATATATATATATATATATATATATATATATATATATATATATATATATACATTTCTTCACGTTAACAGTTTGAATCTCCAGATCATCCAGATCTGGTCAGTTATAGCAAAACATCACAATTCTGATAAAAGCATGCTCACCGACACCTATTTGAGAGTTTTTTCGATTATCGTGTTCATAATTCTTCTTATTAAGAACTTTGACCTCCAGAAGTGAACCAAGTTGGTGGTTACACGGAGCAGAATTCCACCATTTTTATGAAAATATGGAACCTGGTTGTACACTGCACGCTCATTTTGATTATGGTATTATCCTTATTACACAAATGACCTTGGTTTGCATGATACGCGATAGATGAAAGGCAACGGATTTCATTTAATGGGCAATTTTGCCTTGTGGGTTTCGAAAGTCTGTAAGCACAACAAAAAACTTCAGTACTGCCACTTTGATTAAGATCTCGCAAAAGCTCACAATCATATCCCACCACAACATCAATAGCCTTCAACTATCAAGACAGTCACGTCATTTCTTACTGATGCCTCAGTGCTCGCATATGATTGTGCAAAGGCACAGGGCCTTCTGCAAGCTTGAAAATAAACAATTTTCCATATCTTCATTACCGGCATCAAACATAGCCCATCACGTTGACAGCACCTGACGCCGCGGGGCGACTGATGATTTGGGAACAGGTCTTATTGGTCTTACTGTACGTGCACACCTCAGTCCCACCTGTCTGAACAGGTGGGACCGAGTCTGCACGTGCATGAAGACCCATCGCCGACAGGCTTCGTGTACCTGTATTTTGTCGAGCACGCCTGTGGAGTCCATCCGGCTGGCCACGTTGACAGCGTTGCCCCAGATGTCGTACTGCGGCTTCCGACTGCCTATCACACCGGCCACCACCGGACCGATGTTGAGACCTGCAACAGTGCAACGGTGGCGGAAACGGCACTCCCACCACTCAAGGCAACAAACTCAGTTAATGCACACACAGGTGTCGAGAGTGAACGGTTGGTGCGTTTGAGCTGGAACTGGGTGCCGTCTCCTAAGTACTCAGATGTCTTTCTGATCTCCGGCTCCTCACGCACGTCTCCCCGGTCTCAGGCTGTACGGGTGCTTCACTAGCTCAGTGAATCGTTCACTATCACGAGTAACACGGCTGACACCACTTGAACGTCTTACACCACCTTCGCCTTGTGACACTTGGGTGGGATCTCCGTAGCAAATTCGGCGTTTCGACGCGATGAAATTCACTAAGTTGAACCATCAGTCGTGCACCACACCCGACAGAAACACTAATACAAGAACAACTGGTGGCAGAGCGGCAGCTTGCTCCCTTAGCCAGCTTTCCCATGACTGATATCAGTCGGGTAGCGCTCGAACGGTTGACTGTCCATGGTAGTCTGGCGATGTTAATTCCGTTTAAAGAGAATGTTCCACATTTGAGGACACTGAAACCAGCATCAGATATGATGAAATAAGCTCCCTTTTAGCTGTCGGTATACTTTTGAGTAGAACACGCTTCTAGACAACACACTTGATTTATTTAGTAAAGATGTTCTTCATACGTCATCGTTTGCGTCATGGAACGTATCCATGAAGTCAGAAATGCTGCCCAATTGGCCGTGGGAATTGCCAATCTGGCACCCCCTTGTTGTGCTTCAACTCGCCGAGCGATGTCAGTGGCCGCGCTGGATGTGTTTGCTGAAGCAAATATCGCTATGTGGTCATGCTATAGACATTTCTCGTGGTGTTGTTTGTTAAGTTATTTGGATTGCAAGCCTTGTTTTCGTATCTTCTAGTACCCATGTCCAACTTCTTGTATTGCGTGGCACAAAACATGATTCGTGTTAAAATATTGCGCTGCCTGCAGTACATTGATCGAGAGCCAATTTAAGTCTGATATGCCTGGAAACCACGTGACCACAAACACCAGGCATGGAGGACTGGTCAGTTAAATTCCTCCTGACTCTGGATACCGCATGACCAATGGTGAAGTAAAAGTCGAGTGACGGGTCTTTGGCGTCACGCATGCCTGACTGGCCTTGAGAAAGTCTGCACGAAAAAGTCTGCACGTTTTTGCGGATGTGTAGCTCAGAAACCAGAGGGTGTTAGGTACAAGAAGAGCATGCAACTGAACTGCACCGAGCGTTCTTTAAGATGACGATTTTAGTTTAAAATCCCATACAAATGTGGAACACTCCCCTTCACACCCGCGTGACCGGTTGAATACCCTTCGTTCGGGTGGGGCTCAATTCGATCCCCCGAGATCTGAAAAGAAAGAGGGCTAAAGACGCCAAACTCACGGGGTGGGTTTCGCGGTATGTGAACTCACTTAAATCAAAATGTGAGGTGCATAGGTCATAGGTCAAAGGTCATACCTTTGGGTTCAATAATGCCACACAAGGTCAAGCTCATGATAAGGTTCAAAAGTGCCTCCAAATCCCTCATTTAACCGACTTGAACCTTAACACCTGTTCCAAGCAAAGATCACTGATGCTAATTTTAGGGCAATCACCTTTTCATCTTTTTAAGGTTATGGTGACTAAACACCTACGGAATTGTTTTAATTTTTGAATTCGAATAAGCTCTAAGGGTTGCGCTGTACAGTACACTCCTAAAAACGAAGGGTTGATCAAGGTCAGTTTAGGTCAGTGACCTGCTCTGGCCTTTAGCAAGTTTACTGAAGATGTCTTATACGGCCCCTGTCATCGAGAACTTCGAAATGGGTATCGGAAACCACCCAGCAAAGTAGGGCTCCGGCAAGAAAGCAGGTTGGTTTTGATCTTGGTCCCACCACCACACCCAACCCCTAGTCACTGACATTTGTTGCGATCCTTACTTAAACTGTTGCCTAAGAAACTATCTCAGATATGTATGGCGTCATATACCACTCCGTTGTCGCATTAGATGGAACAATTCCCAAGAAATTGTCTTCCTTGACAGCCACATCTTGACTACGAACTGCCATAGGTCAGCGATCGGACAAGATACACGCATTGTTTCATAAATGTACATAAAAAAGATCTGATACTTATATGTCATAGATGCAAATAAATATTCCGATATTTCTGATTTTATATTCCGGTTCTGTATTGTAATTAAAGATTCCGAGATTTGTATACAAAGATCGGACATTTAATTACATTTCGCTATGCAAAGTTTGGTGCGGCTACGCCTCGCCTTTCGAAAACTACTTTGCAAAAACCTTTGGGACGTCAAACTGACCCATCCAAGCACGCGTTGAGAGTTAAGATATGAGGCAGCCTAAATGCAGTTAGCAAATTCTGAGACGCCGACGTGTGGATGTGCATGCTTCGAGAATGGTCACGTGTACGAGGACAGCTGCTTTGGTCTGATCCAGGCAGTCAGATATACGCGAGGAACCTATGGAGGGTGAGACATAATACCAACTTGCCAGTTCCCTACATCGCCCAAGCTCGGCACGGCCTTTGACGTAATCTTCCACCAAAAAGGTCCAGATCGTTATTATGAGATTACTCGCATCCGATTGACACTGCAGTTTTCTTTTTCGGAAATTTGTAGTCGGTAGTCCAACATCTCCATTTAAAGTTTATTTTCATTGCGGCCAAGAGCCTTGAAGATCCCAACCACTGCCTCTCAGTAAAATCGATTAACTGCGGTCGTGAAAAACCACTGCAAAGTATATTTCCATGTCAGCTCATTTATTCCATTAGTTAGGAGCGTTACGAGTTTGCTTCCACGCGGTGACCGACTTTCTTGCCAGGGTGAGGCAAACGCGAAGCCATATAGTCTTAATGATTGAGTACGTGGTAGAGCCCGAATGGTTATGACAACGAACGGTTTATAGCTCGCTGTGCCTGATTTCACTGCAATATTTGCATCGAACATTTTGATCGGAGAACTCGGGACCGAAGTGGTCCGAACAGGGGCCTGTTCACCTCCATGCTGCGCTGATCAAGTATTTCCGATGAACGATATTTGTGATGTTTGCTTGGTAGCGAAGCTTTGCGTTTCATTGCTTTTGATGTGTGTGTGTGTTTGCGCGTTGGGTTCAGCGCTTTGTCTAAATAAGGTAATAGTAAGAGTTTCTACTGCTTAGAGTAAAAAAGAAAAGTACAGTGGCAACGCATATTTTGGGAAAACATTGATATATTTTTCCTAACAACTGTTGAAAGTTTGGATACTTGATACAAGTGTGCTAGTTACCACCCGAAGAGCTCAAAGAGCTTGTAGTTTGATGAGGAGCCGAAGTTCCCTGAGAGTAGCTGTGCTCCTAAACTTTTCGTGTGGTGCTGCATCTGACTTTCGACCACTCGTCGCCATATGCTATCCTCGAAAGCTTCGGCTTTTACATGGCGGCTTCATTATTTCAGGCTGCTATCTCTTGATGCATAACAAATACACCGCGTGTGGCAGTAAAAAATGCGTGAGCTCCCCTATTTTGTCTCACTTCCCTATTAGTTGTAGCATAGCATCATAGCTATCCCTATCACCTTGTTACTATGATCTTGTCTCTATTATCTTTCAAACAACACTGAGCCAAAAATATAGCCACCTTCCTGACGGCGTTGTTTCAGAAGCTGGCTCTTGTGATACGACAATTCTAATTTATTCACGTATACAAGAGTTGTATTTCGCGATCCCTTTCAGGTTACATCCAATTTATCAATGCTCATCTTTGCGCAGCACTGTAACTCTTTCGCTGCTGCCGTTTAAGCTAGGCCTCTGATATAAGGCCACTGGGTAGAATTTATATTTCACGTATAATACAATAACACAGATATGAAAAGCGATTCTATCTTTAATGGAAATCAAAAAATGTATGCTGAATTGCATTTTTTCATTGTCGTTTAAGGGACAGGCGGATCACGATAGCTGTCGTCCATGACCTCATAAAAAACGTCTGAAGCTACACCTAAAGAGCGTATATCAGATCACGCTAGGACTGCACGGATAAGCTCAGAGCACTGAGAATCTCCCAAGAATCCAATAAAATCAAATCAGATCAAATCAAATGATAAAATCAGAACAGATCAATCTAAAACTGCACTGGTAAATTCAAAGCACTGGGAATCCCCCTCCCCCCAAAAAAATCGATCAAAATCTGATAGACGAGTGCACGGATTTTGCAACGGCCCGATTTTATCATGGCGAAGTCGGTAATGATAAAACCAGTGATGTCTTTATTACATTGTGTCGTTTTTCTCAGTATTTCCTAATAATCGATATGTGAACATATTTTGTACGCTTCCAAGGGCTATCCATCGCATTTCCGCTATTGTAGGACAGCCATTGCTCCGAAGAAATTGTCACCTACTGTGCCACTTCGAGAGTTAACTAGTTGGAGGACAGCGTGGAAGGATCACGTGACCCTCGCGTAACTCAATAAGCAGTTCACAAATCAGCAGCTTGCATAAACTGCGGTTGTTCGATGTGGCTATCAACCGATATGCGCATGACTTTAGCTCACGCTAGTGACATCGACGGCGATGGCCAGCCTTACGCTGTTGCCTCTATCCTGGACGGCAGTAAGGCCCACCTTCGCCAGCAGCACAACATGGCTTTGGGTATGGTGATATTAGAAGAGCATTAACAAGAGAAAAGTGAAACATTTCACGCATGTTTGGTGTCTCTGGAGGAGATTGTTGATGACGCAGATCTCTGGAATACGTGCAAGGGTGAGGGAATCATCGTGCCTGTTCTATCTGCAGAGTGCGACGTTGGCATCCGAAAGAAACAGCTTGCAACATTCTCTACATTCCGGGCAAATAAAAATAGCAAGTCCAATGAAGCAGCGTCACTAATGCTAGATACCAAATACGCAAGGTCCAAGAGCGTCAGCAGAACCCGGACCAGCGGGGACAGTCCAGCTGTCGTCCGGGGTGATAGATCACACGAACAGTTTGAGGCTCGTGGTATTATTCGCGGGAAGATT